AGGAGATACTATCGTCCTCTCTGCATTACTATAATGCTCTCTGCTCACTCGAGCAGCCTTCTCAATTCCCAGAGTACTAAGATTTCAGCCTTGAGAATTCCCAGGCTGCTTGGGCAAAACACTTGGAAGTCACTAGTTTGCAGGCTGGAAGTGATCTAAAGATTCCTGCATTTTAGCAGGGTTTGGCTGTCACTGGAGGTCAAAAACTCTCTACATCCTAAAAAATGTATTACTGATTCACTTGAAAGCCAGTTGTGGCTGTTCCTGGATCTGCAGACCTTGGCTATGATCAGGCATGCCTTAGTTACCTGCATGCATATCTGATGACTTCAATAAATTCTGCATGAGCTGCCATTTGAAGAGTATCCAAAGTTTTAGCTGGTAGAAAATGCAATAGCTGGATAGCTTATATGTGTTTCTGGAGCAGCACATGTCACACCTCTGCTCCCTGAGCTGCCTTGGTTGCCAGTTTGCTTGTGGCTCCAGTTCAAGGTTTTGCTGGTTTTGCCTTTGAAAGCCCTTCCTGGCGTGGGACTGAGCCTTTCCCTGTTTATTTCAGCCTACTTGACGAGACCTGGCAAAGAAGACATGCAGCAAGCACCATCAGCTGGGGAGCTGCATTTGGTGGATACAGGAGCTATGGCTTCTCTGTTGTGGCCCCCACTCTATGGACTATCCTTTCCCCTGAAATGAGATTAGTTCCACCCCTTTTGATCTTCTGGGTGGCTCTCAAGACCTGTCTAGGTCCTCAGGCCTGGACCTCTGAGGCAATCTGAGATATGCTCAAATGATTCAATTGCTGAGGTCGCCATTTGCATATTGCCTAGGGGATTGTATAGCTGTTTTTATATTACTTATTTCTTAATTTTAATATAGATTTTTACATTTTTATATATGTCATTTATATGCTTGTGATTTTTAATCTGAATTGTTATATACTGGCTACCATTACTTTTGGTAAAGTGAGGGATGGAGAGGATATACACATTTCATTTCTGTATAAAAAATCTAAAGGATGACTTTAGAGTGGCTAAATTGAAGTTGAACTAATAAAGATGGTATAAAAATAAAGAAGGATTGGAAAGCTGGCGCCCAATGGTTGCTGAACATATTTTGGCCATTTCTCTTTACTGTTGTGCCACTTTCCTGGCAAAATAAAATTCCCACAACTATATTACAAATATAATACAGGAAGTCCTTTTTCACCATCCACAACGGGGACCAACAATTCAATCAGGAAGCAATACAGCTGTAAGGCAAAATCTTACGGTGCCACACCAACTTGTTACCTCAGTTGAAGGTCTCATGTCCCTGTCGGAATCTGAATCAGAGGGGGAAGCCAAACAGCTGACAGTGAGTGGGAGTGTGGCTCCATTGGCTGTGGAAGGGCAAAGTCCGGCTGGGCAGAGCAGGGGAGACATAGAGCAAGGGAGGGAATTCAGAGGAAGGCCCAGGCCCACCCCCTCTTCATCCTAGGGCACGCAGGGAGGAACGGAGAAGGGAGCAACATGAGTTGCGTGGCTTATGGGGGAGGAAAAGGCCCTGATTCCCTTCATTAGCTGCAGCTGGGAACACAGTGTATAAAAGAGGAAGCTGTGCACAGCAAGTTGTTGGGACCAAACATGAATTTATCTTGCATTGTCATGGCTTATCTATGTTCCTGGCATCTTCCCAACTGTGTGTGTTTTGCTGTACTTTCAAGTCTGAAATTCCTTCTCCTGCCCTGTCAAGCTAATTACTTCAGCTTAGTTTGTTTGGATTTTTAGTTACAGTTCATATGTTTTGGACTGAATTTTCTACAGTTAAAGGCTGTTCCTGGGAGAGTTTTTCTCCAGCCGAAGGTAACCTGGACATTGGGGGCAAAGTTGGAGATAAAAGGACTCTTATTGCTTATGTGACTGTGTTGCCTTTGTGCCACGCCCCGGGTCATCACAGAAGGTATGTTTGTTAAGCGAATCACCACCAGATGTTAAGCCCATGATTGCAATTCCCTGCTTACTTTTCCACTGATTCTGCTTGTCGTAAGCAGGCTGTGAAAACTAGAAAATTGGTATCATGTAACAACGGGATGCTCTAACTGTCACAAGTATGAGCAATGGCTAGAAGTCTCCTCATTCAGCAGCCTTAACTGCAAACGGTTGTTGAAAGAGGGGTCATTTAGCAAGGACTAACTCTGGACTTTTGTTACTCATTTCTTGTATTTCAATGGCTTCTGATCAAAACAGGCTTTGTTTGCATTCACTTCATGTCATGTTCACAGCACATTCTATCATCCCAGCAATCTTGCTGTTTTTCAGCAGCTCAGTGGCTCCAAATGCACGCCCCATATTTTGTTCACTTCATGTTATGAACAAAAATACTGAAGCAGTGTCCTTTCTGCCCTGAAAGGGGGTTAAACTAGATCAGGGGTCTCCAAACCTTAAGACACCCAGAATTCCTCAGTCACCCATGCTGGGGAATCGTGGGAGTTGGAAGTCCACAAGTCTTTAGGTTACCAAGTTTGGAGACCCCTGGATTGGATGATTCGGAGATCGCTCACAGCTCTCCAATTGATTATGTTGTATTTCCTCCTCAAATGTTTCTGTTGCATTTCAGCTTTGGCTGAAACCAGAACAAACTTATCACTTGTTCCTTCTGTGTATAGCAATAGCAATAGCACTTAGATTTATATACAACCCCATAGTGATTTACAGCACACTCTGGGTAGATTATAATGTCAGCATATTGCTCCCAACAGTCTAGGTCATTTTACCAACCATGGAAGGATGGACGGCTGAGTCAACCTTGAGCCTGTCAGGATCAAATTCCAGACTGTGGGCAGAGTTAGCCTGCAATACTGCATTCTAACCATTGTGCCACCAGGACTCCTATCTTTCTGTAATATATCAAATAAGAATAGTTTTGATGCCTTAGAAACATTTTTATTCTGCATAGTTATTTTTAAATTCTTACTTTACTTTCAGACAGCACATGTTGAAATCCTAATTCTCACTTACTGATTCATTGATTTTTGCAAGCAAATCCTCTTGGCACGGAGCATTTCTTCTGGTTGAGTCTCCTGTTTAATAAAGTTGTCTCTTTAAGAAATTGAATAAGAGGTTTTGGTATGTTGTATGGAAATGGTTTAAAACAGAATTATAATTTATCTGACTTGTTAAATTGACAATGAAAAAAGGTTTAAACATGTAATGAATAATGACAATTTGTGTGTTTTAAAAATTAATAAAACTTGTTTTAAAAAAAAAAAAAAAAATAAAGTTGTCTCTTTAGCGAAAGTAACTCAGCAATCTGGAAACAAACGATCGTGGTGAACACTTGGAAATTCCCCAGAGGAATTATCAAGCTTTTCTTGCAATCAAAAGGCTGATAGCCTTTTCTCCTGTATGTGTCCTCTTGTGTTTAATAAGAGTAGAACTGTGGCTGAAATACTGGCTACAGTTTGGGCATCTGAACGGCTTCTCGCCCGTGTGTAAACTGACATGACTTATTAGATTCGAGCTAGTTGTGAAACCTTTCCCACAATCGGGACACTCGTATGGTTTCTCTCCTGTGTGAGTCCTCTGGTGTATCACCAGGTTGGAATTCCGACTGAAACTTTTCCCACACTGCAAACATTTGTGGGGTTTCTCTCCCGTGTGCAACTTCACATGGCTTGTAAGATTTGAACTAGTATTGAAGCTTTTCCCGCATTCCGGACATTCAAATGGTTTCTCTCCCGTGTGAGTCCTCTTATGAATCATGAGGGTGGTATGTTTGCTAAAGCTTTTGCCGCACCGAGAGCACTGATAGGGTTTCTCTCCGGTGTGGGTCCTTTTATGGATAAAAAGGTTGGAGCTGCAGCGAAAGACCTTCCCACACTGGGAGCATTCGTACGGCTTTTCTCCCGTGTGGGTCCTTCGGTGAACTGCCAGGGAGCTGTTTCGACCAAAGCTTTTGCCACACTCGGAGCACCTGTATGGTTTTTCTCCAGTGTGGATCCTCTCGTGCATAATCAGCTGCGATCTGCAGCTTGTGTTTTTCCCACAATAGGAGCATCTGTGGGCCTTCGGCACCACGGGCTTTCTTGGATTCTCAAGGAGATCGAAGATCTGCTTAATCCCCTGCTGAATGGCATTTTCATCCAAACCACTGTCTCTTTCCTCCCAAAATGGGGGTTGCTTTCCTGCCAGGCCTAGATCGCAGTCCAAATTAGTTTTGCCTCTCTGCCGATGTCCAGGTGTCTCTTCCTCGTCATGAAATCGAAAACAATTAATTTCAGCTTTCTCCTGTAAAGCTTCATGGAGTTCCAAATGGCCCAAACTCTTCAACTCAACACTGCCTCCCAGGGTTGCCTTCCCTTGTCCGATACCTGATTTGCAGGGGGCAAAAAAAAAAGTGTCATGATTTTTTTAAAAAAAGAAAACAAGGCAAGTTTCCTTTTCTCTGTTTGATCACAACTGCTTTTACTATACTACCTGTCAACTAAAAACACTTCTTTGATCTTTTTAGTTGCCAGCAGAAAGGGAGTAGGGGAAAGTAGTGCATTCTTCAAATGCTTCAGATAATTCCTAGGCAGCCGAAGCTGTTGGCACGCAAGATTATTACTGGAGAGCATGATTGATGACTCTTGGCTATGGATGTGTTCCATTGGAGAATATACATCCAGGGGGTGGGGGGAAGACCAGGGCCAAGGATGAAATGAAAGATGTGTCTTAGAGTCAGCTGCACCCAGGTAATGCCTAATCATTTTTTTTTTACTTTGAGAGATGCAGCTAGAAACTTATGATTTGAATGGGGGTGGATTTGTTGGAGCCCCAACACTACCATTATAATCGACTGAGATGCTTAATTCATATTTCCCACAACTGTGTACAGGAAGTCCTTGAGTTACGACCACATTTGAGCCCAGCATTTCTGCGGTTAAGTGAGGCATTTGTTAAGTGAGTCTGGCTCCATTTTTACAATCTTTCTGGCCACAGTTGTTAAGTGAATCACTGTAGGTGTTAAGTTAGGCGCATGGCTGTTAAACGGAACCTGGCTTCCCCATTGACTTTGCTTGTCAGAAGGTCGCAAAAGGAGATCCCATGACCCCGGGGACACTGCAACGGTCATAAACATGAACCAGCTGCAAAGCATCTGAATTTTGATCACGTGACCATGGGGATGCTACAAAGGTCATAACTGGAGAAAATGGCCACTTTTGTCAGTGCTGTTGTAACTTTCAAGGGTCACTAAGTGAACTGCTGTAAGTCAAGGACTACCTGTAATTGATCTTTTTTTAACTGTGGGAGAAAACATTGCCTAAACCTAAAATAAAGTAAAAGAGAGCACTCATATAAGTAAAGTAAAGGTTCCCCTCACACATACGTGCTAGTTGTTTCCGGCTCTAGAGGGTGGTGCTCATCTCCATTACAAAGCCGTAGAGCCAGCGCTGTCCGAAGACGTCTCCGTGGTCATGTGGCCGGCATGACTAAACGCTGAAGGCAGATGGAACGTTGTTACCTTCCCACCAAAGGTGGTCCCTATTTTTCTACTTGCATTTTTACATGCTTTCAAACTGCTAGGTTGGCAGAAGCTGAGATAAGTAATGGGAGCTCACTCCATTACGCGGTGCTAGGGATTCGAACCGCCAAACTGCCGACACTTCTGATCGACAAGCTCAGCGTCTTAGCCACTGAGCCACCACGTCCCATTAATCAAGAACTACTCATACAGGTAGTTCTTGATTAATGACCACACATGCTCTGGCTATTCAAAATTACAATGGTGATGAACAAGGGGACTTAGACTAATTTTATGGTCACTTTGAATATACACTAGTCGGCATACATTAAAATGAAATTTTGTTGCATCCAACTCTCAAAGGGTCTCCACTTCCATATACACTACATAAACATGACAAAATAAATAAATAAATACAAAATCATGCATATACCCAAGTATATTATATTACACAGAGAAACAACACAGTCTAATTTGGATGTATACATGTACCTGGTGAGAAAAATGAATCTTGCGAGTTTTCCAGACGAATGGCATAGGGAACAAAGCTGTTACAGAATCGGGCAGTCCTGCTAGAAATATTCTGACACCTCCTTCCAGAGGGGAGCATCAGAAACAGACCATGAAGAGGGTGTGTGGGGTCTCTGCCAATGCTTTGAGCTCTAAGCACATAGCGCTTATAAGCAGTATCCTGAATAATGGGAAGTGAGCTTCCTATAATCTTCTCGGCTGTCCTTAACACTCTCTGTATGGACTTTCTATCTGAGGCCCTGCTGCCTCAGATAGAAAGTCCATAATAACTGATCAGTTACTACGGAACGTAATAACTGATCCTTGAAGTCCTGGCTGTCCCAGCAAGCCTGGGGTCACATGATCTCAGTCCAGGCACTTGTCAACCAGTTCACAAATATTGCAGAGTCTAGTAGTCATGTGATCATCATTTGGGACCTTCCCTGCCGGTTTCCCACAAGCAAAGTCAATGACGAAGCAGCAAGGCAGGTTGCAGATTGGTCCTGTAACTCAGTGGCCCCCAACCTTTTTTGTACCACGGACCGGTACAAAATGTACAAAATGATCCACGGACCGGTACCGGCATCAGCATGCACGACCAAGGCAAGGCGAGCCGAGCGACCGGCCAGCCAGCAGTCCCCCGCTTCTCCCCGCCACCTTCAACTCCTCCTTTGTACCTTCTCACAGTCGATGGGCTTTTCGGGCTCTTTCTTAATCTCCTCCTGAGTAACGCGAGACTCCACCGCCATCGGGACGGCTCTTCGTTCGAAGCCACACACCCCCTTCAACGAAACTAAGGCGCGAGGATTCCTTCAGCACCCAAACGCCGCTTTCCAACCGACGACCGACAAGCTCACCCGGAAGCACTTTCTCAAGCGCTGTCAAAACAAGATGGCGGCGCCCAAGCAAAATAGGCGGCCCGGTACAAAATGATCCACGGACCGGTATCGGTCCGGGGCCCGGTGGTTAGGGACCACTGCTGTAACTCACTGCCATCCCCAACTCTTCTCCTACAGACCAGCTACAAAGGACAACATCCCAGATAACTCGTGTTTCACAATGTATGCGTGCCTGCAGCCCCCATCCTTCCACCTGCCTACAGTCCATAATGCATGCCTACCCACCCACCCAGCCACGTTGTAGTGGTGCCACTGCAGGCCTGGTGAAAGGAGAAAATAGAATGCTTGTTTTCTGTTACGCGTAAAATTGAGGCAAGTTACAAATTAATTAAGAATTACAGGCAGTCCTCAACTTACAACAATTCATTTAGTTAAAAAAAACAATGACTACTAACCTGCCTTCCATTGAGGACCTGTATACTGCATGAGTCAAAAAGAGGGCTGTGAAAATATCTACAGACCCCTCACATCCTGGACATAAACTGTTTCAACTCCTACCCTCAAAATGACGCTATAGAGCAGGGGTCCCCAACCGCCGGTCCGCGGACCGATACCGGTCCGCGGAACAACTCTTACCGGGCCGCTGGTTGCTGGGTGCCGCCATCTTTTTTTGGTAAAAAAGTGCTTCCGGTGAGCTTTTCCGTGTAGAAAGCTCACCGGAAGCACTTTTTCACCAAAAAAAGATGGCGGCGCCAGCGCTTCCGGTGAGCTTTT